GTTAAAGTGACTGTATTTCATCCGACTTGATCATTGTCTAGTACTGGTATCCACTTCCACAGCTGTTGTAGTGATCAGACTTGCTTCTCTGTACCTAAAATGTACTTAGGAATAAAAGATAGGCTGAATGTCACAACAGGTAGCTTCCATTAAGTTTCGTAATATCAGTGAGATCTGTGTTTTCTTTTCTTTTTTCCTCTCAAAACTTTATGTAAGAGAGTAACTGCTACTTTAAATTGCGTTTAAAGGGTGTTATTAGAAGTGTGTGTGTGTGTGTGTATACATATATATATATATATATATATATATATATATATTTGTGTGCCTGTAAATGTAAATGAATAAAGGCCTCTGAATACATGGTGATATGGGCTGATACAGTTTTGATAGCCTGACAGAAAAATTTCATTTAAAATTGTAATCGGGATTCTTTTCTATAGAACTTACTTTTAAATTCTTTTGAATTTTTGCCTCCTGATCATACCCCTTGTTATTGTTGTTGTTTGCAGTTGTTACATGCTTTATTTACCCTTCTGTAATTTTGTCATCAGTGCAGGTCAGAGGTAAGAGGCTCAATTGCTTTGAGGTACTTGTTAATATCAGTGCGAAATGAAGTGGATCCTTTGCAATAATTTTGGGTTACAGATGACTTTGTACTTTATACAGGGATATATTCGGGACTGCAGTGCATCTGAATGCAGTAATGGAATATTATTGGGTTCAAACTCTTCTTAAACCCACATTGTTTTGTTGTCTTCTCAAATGAAACTGTGATGAGAACAAATGAGGTGGCAGAGTAATACTTATTTTCATCAATTTTGTATTAAGGAAATTAAGGTAATAAATGCTGAAGACAATACATTAAAGTGACTAGGACACTGAAGATGTAGAGGTGAGGTAAGATGCTTGTAGTATATAGAAAGCATGTTAATAGGTCTGAAAACATTTATGAGGGTGTAGAATCTCCCCAGTTCTCCCCAGTTAGATAGTAAGAGGAGCATCATATATACAGTGTATGTGACTTTTCTGTATTATCTTTGAAGTGAGTGATACTTATTCCTAGATCTCAGGACTATAGGCTATCGGTTTGTACTTTTTTGTACATGGTGCATTCATAGCCAATGTATCTAAACATTTTATGTCCACATTTTTTTCCTAAATTTTATATAGCTTTTGATTTAAAGATCATATGATGAATACAGTACATCTTGTTTAAAGAGGATTTTATGCTGAGTAGAAAAGAATTAGCGTTACCTGTTCCTGATAAAAGAAAGTGTTATTTTTGCAGGGAAACTTATTATTATGCTTTCTTTAATTCAAGAATCTTGCAAAAATTTGGGATTCTCTAAGTGATGGCAACAAGGCAGAGTGATGATATATAGGCTGTCAGTAAACTGGCAATATGCTAGTACAGTGTTTCCTTGTAACTGTGTTACAAAAGGGGTTGTTTTGCTGTTTTTCATTCTCTCAGCGCTTACATTGCCACAGTCAGACCATTAACCATTAGTTGATCAGATTCTCTTCTTCAATGCAGTAGGCTTTTGTAAACAGCTATGGCGAGAAGATAATGTGCTCATCATTAAATTAAAATAAAAATGTTGTGTGTGTATGTAGGGTTAGAATTTTGATCCCTTTTAGTTGTCTGATTCTTATGGAAATGCTTCCAGGAATGGTTTGCACAGCAAATGAACGTCTCCTGACTGTGAGAGAGGACATAGTACTCTCAGAGCCACAGGTGGAGGGAATAGATGAAGAGGTTGCATGTGTTGCAGGCTAGAGCAGAAACACACAGTACAGTCCACAGCTAGGGAGCAGATCTGCATTGTGAAACACCAGGAAAATGGTTCCTTTTGATTTCTTTTGTGTTCACCAAGATCTGACTGGTACTGTTCATAATGTGCGTACTGATTACTAAAAATTAGCTTGAATTCCTTGACTTTTCTGAACTGGTGTTAGTAGGGTTTCAAACCGTAAGCGAAAAGGGGAGTACATCTCTCTTCTGTAGTTACTTGCTTTCAAGAACTGCACATTATATTTCTGTAACTTAAATCAGTTACTAATGGCCCACCCAACACATATCTCTCTTCTCTGACACATCATTTTCATCTGCTCCAGGTCAGCAATTCTCTTCTGTTACTGTCATCCCCTCGAGGCTGAAACCTCATCTAGCTGCTTTGCACAGCAGCTCCATACTTCACCGAGCAGCTGTCACGCTGTCCTTCTGGTGAGGCATGGCACCAAAATGATGACTTTTTGGGTGGTATATTTTCCCAAATTAGCATTGTTTAAGCAGAATGTCACAGGCTGATCTCCATGGGGAATGGATGGAAGTTACCATATTTTCTAACAAAGGGGTGTGTGTGTGTGTGTGTGTGTGTATATATATATATATACATATATATATATATATGTATATATAATCACTTTATAACTTTGAAGTACTTTGGGCCTCTGGGAGTTAAAACACATTGTAAACTGAAATCAGTAGTTTTGTTGTTTCTGCAAGATGTGCTCTGATGTTATACTGTTGTTTCTGAGATCATAGATGTATTAACACCTGTGCAAAAGCTTTATGTTTTATAATTTTATATAGTAAATGTGAAAAAGCTGAAGGAACACTAAACTCAAGTGTGGGACACAAAACCAATCCTAATCCCACCTCTGCCACTGACTTTTATCATCTGCTTTTGGATAGGTCCCTTATCTTTGTGGAGAGCATGATGCTCTCCATATTTCTATGTGCAGCGGTATGAGGCTTGATTGTTTTGTGACTTGATTTAGCACTTGGGCTGGGAGGAACAGTGTTCAGTGTATGTACAGTGAGGGCAATCACATGTTAATATGAAGTCTCCGCCTGGTGAAGAAATGTAATTAGTGAAACAGTGAAGCAAAATGCAAGCATGGATTTACTTGATGGTAAAGTATACCCCTTGCTTTGGACTAGTTTTTTTTTGTTACATGCTTTTTAATGGCATAGGGTCACTGTGGGGGGAAAAAAGGGTCACAAGACTTCATCATTTTAAAAAGAACTAAGCATATCACACCCTTTAAGGTCCTAATTCGAGCTAACTCAAACAGACATGGAGAGGATTAAAGAAATTACTGGTTAACCTAGAGATCTCTGATTTGAATCTCAAGTTCAGATGATTTAAAATGCAGAATTACTGGCACAGTATCAAAAGGCAGGTTGACTTTTTAAAATTTAACTGGACATGCAAACACACCCAACAGGAATCCTCCATTTTAATATCTCAAAACCACTAGTTTTCGATCAGTGTTTTTATCAAAGAGGTAAGTGATTATCATGACAAAGCAGAGCCAGGTTTAGGGATTCTTAATCTGCTTGGTCCTCTGTGGAAGGAAATGAGTTTGTACCTTTAAAACTTTCTGTTAAACTAATAAGGAATTTCCTTATATTATAGTGTTGTTTAAGGTTAACAGTTAAACTTTGCCAGTCTGGTCTATGACTTTTCTTGTCTTTGAATACTGCTAGAATAAATTATTGTATTACAGCTGTCTTGGTAAGTGGGAGATTCTCTTTTTTTCCTGATTTATATTCAAAATTCAGAAAAATCTCTTTCTGTACATTGGAAGCTTTTAAAATTTACATTCATACTAATTTGGAAATATTAAAGATGGAATAAGCATGTAAAATAGAACTAAAAATGCATAAATGAACTGTGTAAATAGCAATAGACTTCATCTTGTTCTTTGTAAATCTATTCCATGACTATGGATACATATGTATATAAAATATATGTAATAAATATATAGATATAAAAATGTGCCCGCATACACACACATGCAGCATCTGTAAAGTCCTAGTACAGATTATGATTCTTAATGCTTAATGATAAACCCTTGTATTAGTGTGTCAATATACCTTAGTTTAAACCAGTGGTGTAAAACTGGAATGGCAGCGTGAACCAGATCCCAATTTGTCTCTGGCTAGTCTCTTGTAAGCTCCGTTAACTCAGACTGAGGAATAGTAAGTAGTGGAGTAGTGAATCAACAGTATTTTAAATCCTCACCACATGGCTTTGTATATAATGCCATTATTTCTTGTTAGAATTCCAAATGCAACTGTATACAGATAGAAATAAATTTGATTTATTTCAAGGCCTGGATATTATTTTTTTTTTAAAGTGTCAACATACTAAAACACTGTTAGTGTTCGCTCTGGTTTTGTTGTTTGGTTTGTGGGTTTTGTTCTTTCCCCCCCCCCCCCCCCCCCCCCCCCCCCCCCCCCC